GTCGGAACAATGTACCTACTATGATGATGAAACCACCAAGTCTTGAGAGGTCTATACCACTAATACTATTTTTCAACTTATGTGTCAATAAAAACTGTGTAAACTAAATATAATGAATTTAAAGAAATCACATACTAGACTCTAATAAAACAATGCACAACACTAGACTGGGACTGATATTTATACAAACCAGCTCTTTTCTGTTGCTTTTTCCTCTTCTTGCTGGCAGCCAGGAGGGCATGGCCCTGCTGTAGAGGATCTACATTCAAGATATCCTTCAGACCTGGAGCCTTGGATGCAGCATCATTTGCAGGTAAGTCAGTCTTCGATTTCTGAGACTTTATCTCCACCGTCATGGGTCCAAACTATTTTGAGCAGGAAGAATATCAGAAATAAAAAGCGAGTTGAACAAGATGTATTTTACAAAAGGATTTCAGTAAACACTGAAGCTATAAAGGCAGTGTTGTTTCTCACCTCTGGGTCCTGGTCATCCTCCATAGATTCAGCTTCACCTTTAAAATCTGGATTTTCCATGGACCCTCTTTCCATTTCCAGGTCAGAAGGAGGTTCACCTTGGCTACCTTGTGTCATTCCAGTGGTTTCCATGCAGAATCCCATTTGGATGTCTGGACAAGATGACTCTGTAGCACAGCAAAAATCAAATCCAACTTTGGGGCAAGTACTGCTGCTTTTGGGTATTTTGAAAACCAGAACATCTGAACAGTTAAACAGATAGTTTTTTTTCTTTTGGTGATTTGGCAAAGCTGACCATTTAACTTACCTGCAAGAACCTCTTGATTTCCCTTTTCAAGCTCGTCCCAATCAAAAGCTTTCCCCATCTCTGTAACAATCTCAGCGCTGACGTGTGTGGGGAGTGTGTGTGTCTCTGGAGGGTGTGTGAAGTAGCTGATCCTTCCCCTAAATAACATAACATGTTGAAATTAACACAATCATAAGAACACTGAGTGAATGTCAATTTTTCTCTCAAAGTTCCAATTTATACCCACCCTGTCCAGTCCATTAATACACTCTTCGCAGCTTTATCAGTATCAGGCAGCCCTCCCTTCCTTAGTTTGCCTTGGCGTTGGGCAAGCAATGCCAAGAACTCCAGAGCTGTGTGAAAGTCTGTAACTCCGTAGTGCTCCATGATCTGTACATCCAGCAGAAAAGGTAACACTGCAGTGTGCAAATGACACAACCAAGCAACGTTCAAAACGGTTTTAACGACATGACAGACCTGTGCCTTGTTGCAGCGTCGGAGGATGGCTTCAACAGGTGGAAGGGGATCTACAAGCTGTTCAATTTTCACACAGTTACGAAGAATCATTGCTGCATCAGTTGTTGAAGTTGCCATAACGATGCCGGGGCAATCTAGAAGCTTAATGTGTTTGTCCAAATGAACCTCTTGAAGGCACCTGAAACCCATCAGACAGGAAGGAAATGAGGCGAGTGCTGGAGTCGATCAGGATCTACATCTTACTGTAAACTTACTTGGTGACACCAGGAGTGGCTCCGACATTACACGCTCGTGCCCGTTTCAGACTGTTGATCAAACTACTCTTTCCCACATTAGGAAAACCTACAAAACAGGAGTGGCGAAAAATGATATCACCTTAGACAACTTATGCAAAGACATTATGCAAAGAAAAATCAGGTGTATGACTGGATGGGGTGCTTACCTACAACACCTACAGTGATGGCTGTCTTTATGTCCAGGTTGCGGCAGTAGTTGCCAAGTAGTTTCATTAAGCAGTCTGCGCCAACACAAGCACTGCTGTTGAGGAGCTCTGTGGTGGCTTGTGTCACTGGAACATTACTGCGTTTCTGTCCATGTCAGGAGACAGAGGGTTTAGAGTTCATGTGAAATTATGTTATTCTATAGTTTTAAGAATTTGAGATGAGACTGAATATTTTTAAAACCATCCAAACAGGCACATTTAACTGCATACCAAGTTTTTGGTCTGTTGCTGGGTGGATGCTTTGAAAGCTACAGTAGGAAACTCATTACGAAGATATTTAATCCACTTCTCCACTATTTCCTTTGACACCAGATCTACAATCAAAGTAAAAACATTTAAGTCAAGCATCAAATATTTGACATAATAAATAAAACACAATTTTGTTGTCCAATCAAATATACAGAAATATGGACAATTAACTCTAATTAGCTAATTTACCAATTTTATTAAGTACTAAAACGATCTTCTTGTTTGTTCCACTTTGAATGACTGCCTGCTCCACCTGAGGACATCTGCAGCCAAGAGGGTCACGTGCATCCAAAACCTCCAAAATGACATCTGCAGCCTCTACTACCTTTAAAAATAAAAACACACACACACAATATTCATGTTCAAAGAAAGATAAGAGTGATACTTGTCTAGAAGTATCACTATGCCTATAAAATTGTAATATTGATTAGATATCGGCCAGTTTGTAGCATGCATGGATTGGCTGCATACCTTTTTAAATTCTCTGTAATATGCCTTCCTTGAATTCTCATTTTCAAAATTTATATGCTTCTCCAAACTCTGCATCTCCGTTTCCTGTGAACACAAAAAGGAAAATGCAAATAAGTACAACAGCAAACTGCAGGGATTCAAATTAGGGCCATATGCACTAAATAGTCTGACATTTACCCTCTGCTCAAACTCTCTCTGTCGCTGTAGGATGTCATTCTGAAAGCTTTGCAAATTCCTCCGCTTCATAAGCTCTCGTTCTCTGGAGAGTTTCTGCTTTTCTTGTAGGTCTAGGAGCTAATTGAAAGAGATTGGTTTACCCCAAGTAAAAAAAAAAGTCACTTCAATAGTGAGTACAGACATGACGTTCAAAGAAGTACCCTTTGCTTCCTGATCTCCTCTGGTTTTCTGTGGTATTTGACATGCTGCACAGATGACTGCTCTGTAGTTTTTGTCCGCCCTGAAGCATCACCCTTTTGTCCATTTTTAGCCTGTAGACAAAAACATTATAAAATAACTCCTTTTTAATTTAGATCATTAAAAAGGCATCACAATGCAACCACGGAGGGTAAACATTAAATCTATCATCACCCAAGGTAAGTGAGGCTTTGTAAACTAAAGAACTAAATAAACAACAGAAATTATCATCCACAAGTCTGAAAATCTCTATTAAAAAATCTGATTTATGTAGTAATGTAGAGCAACATGTGTACCCTCAGTCAGCCTATAAGTGTGTGAGCTAAGTACTTGAGTAATAGGTAGTTTCCAAACAGTATCTGATTTATAAACACTGTACAGTTGTTTATAAATCATGTTGTTTATAGACATGCGCAGTGACACTGATACAGCTAACTGCCAAATAAGTATGGCAGTACCTTGTACCTTGAGGGTACATTACAGTCCGAGTAACGCAACTGTCAGTGCCACTGATGCGCTCCAAGGATCAGTACAATAGAGAATGTAGATGAAAAATATGCGTATCTGTGTGTTTCTAAATAACATTACCTTCAAGGATTTGAGTTTCCCTGAAATCGTAATATGATATTTCTCTAAAGTAAAAGCTGAACTGTTCAACGCTGAAAACTCAAGACTGCCATAATACACCGAACAGCACACCGGTGACGGCCGAGGTGTTGACTGTAGCTCCAGCAGTGAAGTTAGCTACCACAGATAACGTTAGCTTACCTTAAACTTTCCGAGGAAGCCGAGACGTTTGGCTCGTTTTTGTTCTGTAAAATGCAACAAACGACAGAATCCATTTAGAGGCAGCAACGGTTAGAGAGTGAATACAGTTAGTCAAAGCCGATAAAATACGTACTTGCTTTGGACATTACTTCACCAGAGTCTTGCTCCTCTTCGACTTCACGTGTGTGGCAAGAGTGTGCACATGCGCATACAACGACGTCAACCACAACATCCGGTTAAATGTCAAAATAAAAGAGCACTAACACTTTGGCTACACGCCCAGGTAACTTGGTTCCGAGACTAGTACATACCAGGACAGGATCTCGACACCAGTGGCTGTATATTTCTATTATTTGCAAGCGCTGACTTTTTGTTGTCTGGGTTATTGGCACTAATTACCAGATTTTTGTGAGGTGGACCTAATCCACTTTTGCTATTCATATGGTCTTGTGTTGACTCAAAATCAGGTAATAAATCCTTTTCAGGTTTGTGTGCATATGTGCATATTAGGGGTGTTGTAATGACCAGAACCTTCTTTTTTCTGTGCTTTTCCCTGCAACGCAGCCAAAAGCCAGGAGGAAGCCACTTAGCAAGTTATTTTTCCTTGAATTTTATGCAATGGCTTCTCTGTAAAAATTGTTTGGAAAAAAAAAAAATTCTATAGTCTCTCCTATTTACAAACCTTACATTGATTACAGCAGCATATTGCTGTATTTTTCTCCAGCTGTCTGTCTCCAGAAGTTCACAGTGCATTTCATCTCAGTAAGTAAGTAAGAGTGTCACATTTTAACTAAAATTTGGATTTAACCTGTGACAATCACACTTTCACACAATCACAATCTGTCTTTCTCAGCCAACTTTATTCCCTGGTGGTAGAGAAAGAGGTTTGAGGAGGGTCATTTTGGACCCCTGACTCACAATTAATCCCTAATTCAGTCAAGTACTTTTGCCACTACATGTTTGATACCATGTCAACAATCCCTTTTGTTTTCCCAGTCAGTTCAACTAGAACTTCTACCAAGATGTACAACCTGATGCTGCTCCATAACCCTAATTTTAAACAATTTTTAAAGACACTCTAATGGTTGTTGGTATCTTACTGAACAGTAATATTAACACTAGTGATGAGGAAAATGTTCAAGATTGTAACAAAAACCAAATGGAAGTTTTCAATGCTCGATATTTTTATGTTCAACTGGAAAAAAAACAGTCATATTCATTCATTCATTTGCTTTATGTATATATTTTTTGTTTTTCCATTTGCAATCAAGCTGTCTTTACTAAAAAAAAAAAAGAAATGGAACAATAAATATTTACTGTACAAATAACAATGCTTCTCAAAATACAGAATATACAGGTTTACGCAGGAGCCACAGAGGAGACCTCTGTCTTTGATGTAGATACTTCAGAACCATCATCCACTTGTTTGCCAAAGAGCTGCATGATGCATGTGCGGAACTGATAGGGAGAGAATAAAAAAAAGTGTGTTAAAAATTTAAATTGACCACATTTGATTTAGTCATAGAAAGTTGGTCAGTGTGGCATTGTGACTGTTATGCCCACCTGTCGGTTCATGAAGACATAGATGATTGGGTTGTAGATGGTGGCGCTCTTGGCAAAGTAGGCAGGCATAGCAGCAGCCAGAGGATGAAAGGCGTATCCAGGGTTGGCCGCGGCAAAACAGGCAAAAAAGGTGTAAGGTCCCCAGCACAAACAATATGCCAGGATCATGACAACCACCATTCTGGATACTTCTTTCTCAGCTTTCTGGGTTGACTCTGATTCCTTCTGCTGCATGGCTACCTGTGATCAACAAATCAATGCATTGTGAGAGTCGGCCAGACTGTGATCTACTTCAACCGACGTGTCAAACTGCAGGTGACTTACAGTATGGATAGCCCACCAGACGGCAAGGTAGCACAAGATGATAATAGCCAGGGGAATAAGACAACATGTGATCATCAGAACAATCATGTAGGACTGGACTCCAGGATCTTCACTTCCACTGAATACATCAGGTCCACATGAAGTCTTCAGTCCATGAGGCCAGTACCTGATCCAAGAAAAATGTTTAGTTTATGTTTCCACTATAAATTCAACATTCATTTTTTTTAAATAAATAAATAAAAACTGGCTACCTGCTCCAGCCAAAGATGGGGGGAGCACACCACACTGCGGACCAGATCCAGGAGAAGAGAATTCCAGCTGTGGCCCATTTCTCATCAAACTTGACATTTCCAAAGGGTTTGCACACAACTACCCATCTTTCCCAGGAGATGATAGTCAGGGACCAGAGAGCAGCAATTCCTGTGTAAAGAAGTAGGACATTCAGAAAAGGGATCTCCAAACACTTTTCCATCAAAGAGAAAAAAAATTGTGACCACTTACCACAAACTGAGACGGTGTAACCCTCAAAGATGCACATTGGGTGTCCCAGAATGAAGTAACCAAAAAACTGGTTGCATACACTGATGGTGCTGGCTAAAACTGTCTCTCCAAGATCAGCAACTGCAAGATTGACCAAGATCCAGTTCAGTGGGTGACGGAGTTTCTTGAACTTTGCTGTGGCCACCAAGACAAGACCGTTGGTGAAGACTGATGCGATGACCACAAAAATCATCCAGAGTGTTGAAACGTTGTAAACCCATCGAGGAGCAATGTGGTAATTGGGACCATCAAATGGACCTGGGAAAAAAAAATGGAATCTCATAAAATCTCACAATTTAGAATCTGATGTGATCTCACAAGTACACATTGTCCTTTTTTCAGCCACTATGTATTTATATACTTAATGTTAAATATACTTTATGCAAAGGTTGTAATCTGTCTTGTAATAAAATTGACACAAAAGTCAAATTTTTGAATAGTGCTGTGCAAAGAATATATGTGAGAGGAAATAAAAAAGAACTGCATACCGTCACACTGTCATGTTTCACACCTTGGAAACAGATTTTTGTCTTTTTGTTTACAGCATAAAATACAGCACAGCTTTATGAGATTAATGTCTGATACTGTCAATGAACTGCCTCGAAGGTCAGCAACATGCACTGGTAAATCATCACTGTTGGATCAGTTGAATCCTGTTCTAATCTTAAAAAAATCTCTCCTATGTTTGTTGTTGATTCTCAGTGGAACTGGTAGTATTAGCAACCCTTTTCATATAACCTGGAACCATCAGTGTTTTTGCGAAAATATACAGTAGCATAACAAAGCTGTGAAGTCCATTTCTTTTAAAAGTAGAGACCAATTGGCAAAAGACGCTCAGCTTTTTCTCTCGTAGGTTCTACTATACTCATTATTATTATTATTTATCACATTCCTGGTTGTAGGTATTAAGGTCATTCACATTCCTATCAACTTATTCAGAAAATAAAATGGTAATACCGTACCTCTGGTGTTGTTGCTGTTTGTGTAAGAAAAGGCAGATCCCCTTGTTGTATCTTCATTGTACCGCCTGGCAGCAAAAACCTGTTTTCCCCACTCTTCTGCCATTCTGATTTTAGAAGGAGGCCCTCAGCAGCCGGCCTTTCTTTGGGTGACTGGTGCAACACATCTGACTTTAGCTTTTATACTTGTGCTTCAGAGACCTCTGATAGGATTAGATCACAAGCAAATTACAGCCTTGGTGTGACATTTGGCCTTGCTACTCAGCGACAAAGTGAAAACTTATTTTGAACTGTAATTAAAACTATCAGCTAATTAGGTTAAGACACAAAATGCCAGAATAATCCTGTTTGGAAGCAGATTTACATCAACTCAGTTAAAACAGAGATTGGTTGCCGGAGCTTTGACTGACACATATGTACATTTTGAGCCATCCTTTTCCAGCACTAGCCAATATTGTGTATTACTTATAACAATAGAAATGTTGGATTGAAAAAGTAATAAAATGATCATTAAAGCTTTAAAGCAAATGTTTATGTTCTTATACTTTTAGATGCAGAGCAATAATTCTACATCAGGACACTAATATCATGAAATGTATACATTGCATAGTAATTAATTAAGTTTATTTGAGAAATTAAGACAAACACTAGAGAACTGAGAAAGAAACGTAATTTCATATAGTGTATGATGGATCTTGGTAGGTCTACATGTGGAGCCTGGTGGGCATGAGAAGACAATCAAGTCTTAAAGCAGCTTAAGTGTTGAAGCGGAGATTCATGGAACTATAGTAACAGTTGGAGTTGCTGACATGTGAGGGAAGTAAGACACCTTTAATCCCTCCGGAAAGAGAGTTCACTTCAGAACATAGGATTTTTCAAAACTCCTACCCACGTCATAGTCCTTATGGCAAGGGCAAAGTGGAGGGGTTAAGACATCCTGATTTATGAGGAAAGACTCAAAAGAAAAACCAGCCTGATAGACATGCACAGGTTCTTTGTCTTGCGCGTTGAGTTAATGAGTGTCTTTAACTTAGAACATTAGCTTAAATAACAGTTAACAAAATACCAATAGAATAATCAGAAATTGGGGCAGTGTGATAGTGATGATATTGTTAAAACAAACAAACCTCCCAAAACAAACAAAAAATGGATATTTTAAGTGAGATGGATGTGAGATGCTGGAGTGGAGTCCATGAAGTGCTGTCAGAATCGTATTGCTATGGGAAAAACATAATAGTCAAAGTTTAATTAGGCTATCAAGTTAGAAGTATTTTTACTGTATTTTACCGAGATGTTATTGTGAATATCTGACCATTCAATAAAAGTTTTCTGGATATTTTTTAGCTGTGGATTATGCTGTGCACAGATTTTTGACAAAGTTACACTGAATGACTACTGTGTCTGTCCAAAGCTCTTCAGCTCTGGGTATTCCCAACAGGATAGTGTCTTTAGTGGGTAAGAACAGCCAGTGATTAGGGCATTTAGTGACCTTTGGCATACTCACTACTTAACCTCTTAATTTGCTCTGCCTGCCTTTTAGGCATTGTCTCATGATAGTTTGTGAAATAGAAAACAAAATGTAGTATCTCTGTAAAACGTGTAGGAATTTTCCATTTTCTCGTGACACAAAATGTAATCTCAACTTTTCCATATTTTTGTGACAGGAAAGTGTTGGCTTGTAGTGACTACAGCATTGCTACACTTATTTATGGTTATGTTTAGACACGGCACTTGGTTAAGGTTAGTTAAAGATTGTGGTCTGGTTTAATATAGTGACTTCAGACACAATAACTTAGGAGCTATTTGTAAGTTTTACTATTGCTACAACATTAACAGCTGATGAACAGATGATTATTTGTTGATTATTGTTTCCAACTGAAATAGATTTATTTGTGCTGCTGTCTGTCTTGACCAGGTCTCACTTGAAAAAGAGATTCATTAATCTCAGTGGAACATTCCTGATTGAATAAAGAAAATGTGTACAGTATCATCTACATATATTTGGATAGTCTTCTGGTACACAATTGAACAGATTCAGAACTGAAGCCTTATGAAGTATTGACATCCACATTTTAACCCTTTTTTTAACAACCATGTGTTGTGTATGGTTTTTTAAACTGTGTCAATCCAGTGTATCACTCTGTCTGAAAATCTTGAAAATGGGTAAATTCATTTTGATCTTGTTACTCTCTTACCATCATCTAATGTTGAAGATCTCTACTTGTAAACTGTTTTAGTACTTTTAAATCCAAATGTGTCAGGATGAAATGGTGCTCTGCCAAATGGGTCAGAAGTTTCACTGTTACAGTTTCCTGCTCCACAGTCCTCGTGCCGCACTGTGCTCACTGTGGCAGCCTTGAGAGCTCGCTACCTCCTCTGACCGAGTAGCTAGCCAGTATGTGTCAGTGGCTCCTTCAACACAAAGTAATACTGTGAAAAAACTACCAGTTTCAATAAATCCAGATAATAGCTGCTCATCCACGCAGGCTGGAGTTAGTATTGGGCACGAACAGTACTTCAACTTCAAAATGAAGGCTCTTTTTTGAGTGTAAACCCAGTGTATATATTCTAGGCTGGTGATGTTGACACAACAGCATTTGTTAATCCTAGGTTGTCCCACTTGAGCGGGTGTTTTCAGCAGCTGAACTAAATACACTAAACAAAACCAGTAGGACGGAGGTGTCCCTTCAGTTAGATGTTAACTTGGTAAAAGCTATTTGCTTTTGAAGGCCACAGCCCTTTTAGTATACGTACATATAAGAAAAATGGGTTTGACTTTGTTGAAAGTGCAAGAGCTGCCCAGCATGCTAAGTATAATGTACTGTCCTCAAGATTCGAGGTTGTGCAAAATCATTTGGTATATTTAATATCTTGACCTTTTCTGGCCATATATTGAATTTTTTTTGCACCCATGTAATCAAATACCATGCCCTGTGTAACCACATATCAACCTGACAGTTATGGAATTAACAGTAATGAGCCGCATAGTAGGTGCGTTTCCATTTACCTGCTTAAAGTGCAATTTGAAATTGTGAACTTAAACTTGTTTTGTCCTTTTTTCATAAATCTTTATTTAAACTAGCCTGGTCAGTTTACCTGATTCAAAGACTGCAAGTACAGTAGTTTTCAAGCTAATTTATTACCCCTAAGGCTACCACTAGAAGAGGTTTTCTAGCCTGTGCAGGCTGGCGAGGTGTATTATTTAATAAATATCTGCTAGTTACCTTATAGCTAGGACATGCTGTATTTGTCATAGACACTGAATAGAATAGAGACATCATTAATGTTAGGAACATTAAGAACATCTGTTCTTTCTGTACAGTGACAAGTCAAATGTCTGATGTGAAAAAGAGGAACAACAGTAGGAATGAAAATAACAAAAGATTGTCTGACATTTAGTTATCTATTTTAGATATACTTTTATTTATTGCCTTTCTTATTTATTATTTGTCATTTGTTCTAAAGGGCATTTCAATGGGGGAGAACAATATGGCTGAATGTACACAGATTATTGATCAAAGAGCACAAAGGTATTAGGTAATTGCTCCAAAATATCACTAACTGGTGTAAACTTACACCCCAGTTCAATTCCAGACAGGGACCTTTGCAATAAAGGCAAATGGCAAAAAAAGAAAAAAAAAGAAAGAGAAAATTACCTCACAATTTGAGTGTGATATGGTCAAGTGGAAAGGAGGGAATTTTTTTTTAGGTTGTCAGGTAATTTTACTGAGCATGTATGTGGGTTTTCTTCAGTCTACACATGCATAGTGTGCTATTTAAAGTCTCTTATACAGTGTAAACTGCATAAACCAAGGGTATGTCATTATTCTCATGCAAAGATTGTTTTGTATTAGTTGTCAAGTTGTCAAATATCTTATTTTGAAAGAAATTATGCATTTGCATACCACTGTAGAGAGAAGCATTTCAGAAGACACTTGGCTGTGGATCTTTTATCTTTCATTTTAGGGTTGTTCAAAACAGGTATGCCCTGCATTGCCTGGTTTAGAGCGTCTGTAGCTACCATAGTACTAATCAAGCTGATCAGTAGTTTTATCTTGTTTAAGGCCTTGTAAATTAGCAGATGTTGTTGCAGGTTCTCTGTTCCTGGAGCTCAACCCCTGATTAGCACCTGGTTGAACCAGTGACATGCAGGTGAAGATTTCTCATGTCCCAGCAGACCAAAGCAGATTATACGGACAACTCAGGTTCTGCCACAAAACAGATTAAATAAGAGTAATTACTTCTGGCATGCTCACTCCGTAACACTTTAATCTCTCCGGAACAACAGTTCACTTCAGGAGAAAGCAGAGTTTAACCAAAGCTATTATTGTGGTTTATCTTAATCTAGGTCCACTTCATGTGCAGGTAGCTGGCTTGCGGGTTTGATAACAACTCCATGAGGGACGAGGACTGTACATCAAGAAGAGGATGGAGCCTGAAACTGAAGAAATCTGTAAACTTTTCCTCTATTTTCCACTATTTCTAAATGTATCTATGTTTATAATAGTAACTTCACTGAATGTTCACTACAGTCGAATATATATATATATATATATATATATAATATAATATGGGATTTTTGAAATGGGACATCAGTATCTTAAAGTAGAGTGTTTTGCTTTCAGTATCTTAATGTAAATTTACGTTTATGATTTATGATCCAAGAGGTGGAGTTGATACTAACCATTCTTTTTTGTTTTTGTGATTTCCATGTGGTGCTGTGATGATTCGGAGGTAGGTCTGGAATTCCGCTTGTTCTGAACTATTCGTGTTTGGTAAAAGTTCACAACTAGCAGAACTCAGATTTGCTCCCGACTACCAACAGTAATCACCATGGGGGTGAAAGTCTGGTTTATACACTCGTGCTCTGAATAGCAAGTGGTCTACATGGGTGGTGACAGCTAAGGACCATGGTGGATAATTACACTGGTGTGAAGTGAGCTGAGTACAATTTTGCTACTAATACAGGATTGTGTTCACTTCACATCAGGTAATAATCCTTTTGTCAGATTTGTGTATCGTTGAAGGGTGAACTTTCCTCTGCAGCACAGCTCTCCTATGGTGGCCAGACGCCCAGAGGCAGTTGTGATAATGGTATTTCCAAGTATTGACTGATTAATTTCCATCTCCTCTCAGCAGCATGACAGGCAGACAACATGTAACCACATATTTAATATTCAGTTTTTGTATATGTTCAGATTCATTGTATGAATTTTACTTGTGGCTGCATGCCTCCATGATGAACATCATGGCATCATCTATACAGGAAATATAAATAAATAGCTTATCTTTGATATACCTATAAAGCTAAAGAGTATGACCACATTTAGTCAGACTAATGCTAAAGAAAATCCCACATCATGCTTTTTTCTCTCACTGTATAGATGTTTCACATTAACTTTTGATCTGTGCAAACACAGGGACTTGTGTAAGTGCCTAGACTGAGATAAATGAGTAATCCTATTCAACTAACCCTCTTTATCTTATGGTGTTAAAGCATTTGAGGAAAACAAGTGCATACATGCATGTACACTCATCATAATAAAATATTTAATTTCTGTAGCACTCTGTAATATATCAATTGCACTGTATGCAGAGATGTTTGTGTGTGTGTGTGTGTGTGTGTGTGTGTGTTTCTTTGCCTGCTAAGTTATCCTGTAAACTCTGTAAGGTAAAGCCTTTGAGCCTCTGCTCGGTGAGTAAACTAGTTAAGCGCCAGCAACACTGTGATCAGCATAAATACCTGTCACTGTCCGTTTGTGTGTTTCCATTAGACAGATTACCTTATGTCAAAATTGTAAAATCTATAAATGAAAACAATCAAGACATTGATTGTGGTCCAAAAGCCTACAACCCTTGACTGCCAGCATTTGGATCTGATCAATAATTTGTACAATTGCAGTAATATACACACGGCAACTCTGCTGTGGTGCCACCTGTAGGCTGACTGCTGAACCTGTCTTCATCTTTTACACCACTGACATCTGGTCTTCTGCGCACATCTAAACTGATTAATGATTCAGCAGAAAATGGTGCATTTTCTTCAGATTTGAAAGAACTAGAGATCTGCTGGTGTTATGGCATCTCTGGCAGATGGACAACAGAAGTTCAGATGAAGAAGGACGGAGTTGATGCACATTCTCCTGGTGGGTTTTTTCTTCATTAACATATACTGTATGTGTGAGTGCAGTGCAGCCAACCATGTGTTTCATCTCTTATAAAAACTGGTCATAGCAGTCTTTTAAAACGTTTCTGTGGCTGCATATCAAATGTACAGTTCTGTTGTACACTCAGATAATTGTTGTATACTTACATTCTGAGATGGTGGTATGTTTTTATTTTTATCTTTGTCTCATGTGCTTGAATTCTTCCTCAAAAAATATTTCACTGCAAACTGTCTTTCCAGCTCACTGCTGATGTTTTGAGGCAGGATTTCAAAATATCTACAGTGACTTAGAAGTGAGGTTTGCATTTTGAGATTCAGCTGAGCATCATAACAAATCCAGAGGATTTAGATAAAGCAGAAATGTGGGTTTGGTTTGTGTGTTTTTGTCAAAGTGTACAGCATCATTTTTTTTAAGTAAGTGCTATTCAAAAATCATGTATAGAACTGGTATGTTTGTCTCCAGTCACTGACATTGGCTGACTTACATTGTGCTATTGTGCTAAAAGTGCTTCAATTAGAAAATAACTTACATTAACAATGTTTCCCCACTTTGCAATCATTTCTCAAGCAGAGATAAAAGCTATAAAACTGTTTGTCAGCGGTTTATTAATTCTCTGTTAGATTGTTGTGTTTACATAGTCATGTGAAATCCAACACAACAAATGCAGTGCACATTCTGAAAATTCATTTACAAAGATTATTACAAACATTTCCTTCATTGAGTAATACCTACTATGGGTTTCCAGTGACCTGAAACCTAATTTCTTCTTGATTTCTAAATTCTTTTAGAATTTAGTACAGAATACAAGAGTAAAAGGTCATACATTTTGTCATTTACATCTCCAGTGATTCAAGACACAAAATAATCACTTCATCACTGGCATCAATGATTTAAATGTTTTCTGTTTGTTTGTTTATTTGTTTTTTGACATTTTCATTTGCATATAACTGTTTATCTGTAATAACAATACAATTCTATTTGTCGTGGCATTTGTACATGCAGTGCTATTTACAGTATGTAACAGTGAAGACTCTAAGCAGGACCGACTTTAGAGACTTCAGTTACTGACTGACTTGTTGATGAGTCTTCATCATCGCCTCCACTCATCCCCAGCATCTTCCTTATACATGAGCGGAACTGAAAAACAAAATGGTCACGTTACTGAGGGCGTAGCATCTTTCCTTTACTGTATGTCATTTAATTGCAGAACGACCTTTGAAGGTGACTCTCTTTGAGTATACATACTGGAATACTATCTGATGACTTAGCTATGACTAATTAAAATCAGTCAAGTCAATCAGAAATAAAAATCTGAGGATTTTCATTGTATAGCAGGTAGGTTTCCTCTCTGAAGATGGAGATGTTTTGAAAGTCACCATTAGAGGGCGCCATTAGCCTTGTCAGCTCCTTTTTATTTGTCACTGTTTAAATTCAGTTCACTTGGGTGACCTCAAAGCTAACCTACTGCCCCCAAGTGGCTTTTAAATCGAAGTGAATATGTGACGGTGAACCCACCTGTTTGTTGAGGAGGATGTAAATAACAGGGTTGTAGACTGTGGAGGCTTTAGAGAGGCAGGAGGGTATTGTGGCGAGTCTCAGGTCGAACGGTTGCCCACGGTTGTTCACAACCCACAAAGCAAAGGAGGCGTAAGGCATCCAGCACACCAGGAAGCCCAGCACCATGACAACCACCATCCTGGTCACTTCCCTCTCTGCCTTCTGGGTGGAGGCAGACTCAGCCTGGGCCTTTGCTGCCTGTTGATGGAGAAGTACAGAATCCAGTGGTAGGTCTTAGGAACACCACATGCATACTCAAATCTTTCTTTTACTTGCAATCTACCTAAACCCCACAGACAGCAATAGACATCCCTACCGATTTCAGCATGAGAAGCAGCTGTGAGTAGCAGAAAACGATGGTGAAGAAAGGGACAGCAAAGCAGAAGCAGAAGAGGAAAATCACATAGGACTCATTGTTGAACTTGTTGTTAGTTGTGTACCAGTCTGGTCCACAGGAGCACTGCATGCCCTCTGGGATATACCTGGAGAGAAAGACAATGAACCAGTCTGTCCATGTTTGTACTGTAGGACAATAAGTGAAAGAAAAAATGAATAAAACTGATGTGAGTTCAGTCTTTGGATACTGACCTACTCCATCCAACCAGAGGAGGAACTGCAGCAATTGAAGCAAAAACCCAAGTGATTGCACAACAAGCTATGGCATGTTGAGGTTTAAAGGCGAAGTTTCCAAGTGGCTTGCAGACAACCAGCCATCTTTCAAAAGCTACCACAGCGAGAGACCAGAGGCTCACCATACCTGGAACAAGACAGGAAAGAGCAAATGATACAGATTGCACTTCCCTCACTGAGCTGCAACTCATAATATCTCTTATTTGTAATATAGTTTAGAATATGATAAAGCAGGGTTTTAAATATCAGCACTAGTTTAAATACATGGATAGCTCTAGTTCTGGGTTGTCTGTGATCCATTATGCCTTTGCTGTTGTGATATGTAGCCTAGATCACACATAACCAGAAGATATTACACCAAAAATTAAATAATAATAATAATTCTTAAGAGGATGTTTTCTAACTTATGATGTGCTCTCCTTCAGGTGAAACAATGACAATCCAGGCTGTGATGTGGAATGGCCATCAGCCTTTTAGTTCCTAAAAGAAGGAACAGTCTCCACTCTTCTACCTGGGTCTGATCTCTGAGATTGCATTCAGCGTCATGAAAAGCTAAAAGAAATTGAGCAAAGGGCAGCCAGAGTAGGCGACGCTCTGAACTCTATAAATCAAGCAAAATACAACTAATGCAAAGATGTGGAATTGTGGCTAATATGATTTTTACAAACTGAAATCTAGTCCGCGAGGAACTGTTTTCTTTTACCTTTGATATTTTTAACTGTTATCTTAAAAACCATGATATTGACTTAATCAACAGGCCTTAATTTATATTTCTGTCAAGAAGAGACAGTTTAATGTTATTATTATTAAACTGTTTTATTGGAGGAAAGAAAATGCTGTGAGGAAAAGACTAACTTGCAGTTTTATTGTAATTGTGATTTACAAGTAATCAGCATGAGCATATATCTCACATATATAAAACCCTCTGCCCTTTATGGTAATGTAAAGTGGGGAAATCACTGCCTCTATAATAGTATTGCATTTATCCAAGACCTTATCCTGCTTACCACCAAGAGTTGCTGTAAATCCTTCAATCTTGCACCCGAGTGGCCCAAGAATCATGTATCGGAAAGCAAAGCAGTAGAAGCAGGTAAAGGAGCCCACAGAGGAGACGAGGAGGTTTGCCACAGCCAAGTTCACCAGGATGTAGTTCAGATGAGACCGGAGCTTCTTATATTGAGCAGTACATGCGATAGTGACCGTATTGATGGCCGTACCAGTCACAAACAGGAAAAACATAAAAGCTGACATGGCATAAAAGATTCCTGGGCTTCCTAGGTGATCCTGGGGAACCAGGAACGGGCTAAGGGACGTGATGTTGTTGGTGTCCAGAGGGATGGGGATCCAGAAGTCGTCTGGTAACTCCACTGCACGATTTCCCCTCATTTTGCTCTGGTTGTGTGTCAAATAAAAAAAATAAAAAAATCAAGCACTGTTCAAAAAGATTGTTCAAAGGCTACAAATGATTCTCTTATGATTTAAATGCTAATGAGAGGTTTGATACTATTAGTGTCTCTTGTGGAGGTTTGTCTCTCTCTGATGCGGAGTTAAAGCTGCATTTATAGGAACTTTAAATAATACTCAGGCTCAACTTAACTGGCTCAAAGAAGGGATTTAAAGCTTTGGTTCACAGTCCACATACACACGGACAATACTTGTACATGCACACACATCACCAACTCCCATAACAACACCTTTGAGCTAATACACAGGTAAGTATCTCAACGCCAGAGCTGGCAGGGATCATCTCATTACATCCCAGTGGAAGAGCCCTGCATTTGTGAATCATATAATCTTATCACGAGTGACGTTCAGGAGGTCAGTGGCATGCCTTTGGCCTTCAGTAATCCAAGTTGTACTCCTTTAGCTCAGGCCTTGTGCTATGTAGCTTGGCCCAGTATGAATATTTTCAAAGAAGCAGTTTCACTGTTTCTTGAGAGTTATCCTGATTTATCAGAAGAGATTTGTGAACTTGACAATTTAAATCACAACCCAAATAATGTGATAAAGAAACACTTTTTATGGAACGATGTTCCATGTAACACTCTCTAAATAATTTGTTCATTTGGATTTTCCCTTACTTTCATGTATTACAATTACACTAAGCTTCATTCTGTAAGAGTTTATAACTACACAACTCCGTTGAGTCAAAGTACTCTCAGTCAAATACGACTCCAATACAAGTGAAAGCTGTTCAGTCAGATTTTTACTTGAGTTAAAGTACTGGAGTACTTGATTTGAAAAAATACTTAAGTATTCATAAGTAGCCTACATTTTTGATGTAAAGGCATTGTTGTATTGTTCCACATTTACAGAACCTAATGACTCTGAAACCACCTACTGAATCCACTGGCTTACTGTAGAACCTGTAGAATAAAAAGCTTGTAAAATATGATACCAAGACTGTAGAAATGGACATATAAACACAAGTGAATTGACCAAAGAACGGCCAGCTACTACAAGCTGTCCGTTTAAAAGTTTGTCTGCATACCTTGACATGCTTTCTGAAGGTGGATGGCAAATTTTTGTAGGCAGTGATGAAGTTTGGTCACGGTAAAGACAGCAAAGGAATCTTTATTTATTTCTAAAAATTTCAAACGTGGACTTACGATAAGGCCTTGGTCTCAGGTGAAGAATATTCTGCTTCATCTTTATTGAATGTAGCCGTCATTAGGCCACTGCCAGGTTCATATTGAGATGTTCAAAAATCCAGCAAGAACAACATGTCTGACAGTTTAGGAGCTGGCTGTGATTGGTTTTTCTCCTGTGACGAACACAGCTTACAGTCTACCACAGTTTCAAAATAAAATAAAATAAATTTTGCTGGATAAAAGCTCTGCTTCAAAGTAACAAGTACATCACAGTAATGTAGTGGAGTCAAAAGTACAGTATTTGTCTTTTACGTGTAGTGGAGTAAAAGCCTTAAATACTCAAATAAATGTACTTTGTTACTGTCCACCCCTGACAACAACAACAATGCATTTTTTTTCATTTTTCAGTAAGTAATGACTTATATTTACAACACAGCTGAGCCGCTTGTGTCTTGCGATTAATATGCGCCTTACAACACAATATTAGGTCCAAACCAGTGAATGTGTTCTTTTCCCAGTATCAGCAATACACAGACACTATAAACATGTTTGTATTTTTTTTTTATTTTTCACTTTGCAGATTATTTATGATTTCTTACTTGAATTACAACCTTGCTCACACATTTTTTCATATGACAAAACATACATATCTTCATTGTTATTTACAATTCACAAATCATCAGTGGCAGAGAAATGCGTGGTTTAAGCAGGCCCAACTTTGGAGACTTCAGTCACTGACTGTGTTGTTGATGACTCCTCTTCACCTCCACCCATCCCCAACATCATCATCATGGATGAACGGAACTGAAAGGGAAATAAAAGACAAATTACTTAAATTGTTAAAATCTACACAGATTTTGTGGATCAGTCAATCCTCGCTCCAAGAAAGGTCTTCTTCATCACCATGCATGAACATAACTGAGAGGAAGAAGCATTAATGCCAGTTGTAGTATAAAAAAGAGACATTGGCAGACAGCAACTCACACCTCAGCAAAAAACAGTGGAAGTATCTAATTTTTCTACCAATAAAAAAAGTGCCATCATCATTCTTCTACAAGCAGTGGTTTTGATTAACATCATCATCCCAGCAAAGGGTGTACATGAATGGTTAAATGTTTCAATGTATGTATGGAGGTATTCTCAAATTAGTCAACACAATAGGACACTCTATGATTATATCATATAAAATGTTGCATTTATGTACGTCAGACTGAGACACAGAGGACGCAGCACAAAAGATGGAAGAACAGTACACATGTGATACACAGAGACTATTTATGACCGCTTGGTTAAGGCCCCAAAAGGCTGATGGGATTCCATCTCAGGTTCCCTCAAACGTTGTCCCACGTGCGTCCTTGCAACAAATCCAATGTTCATCCCGACTTTTAACGTACCTGTTTATTGAAGAGGACGTAGATAATAGGGTTATAGACCGCAGAAGCCTTTGAGAAGCAGGATGGTATGGTGGCGAGTCTCAGGTCGAACGGTTGCCCTCGGTTGTTCACAACCCACAGAGCAAAGGAGGCGTAAGGCATCCAGCACACCAGGAAGCCCAGCACCATGACAACCACCATCCTGGTCACTTCCCTCTCTGCCTTCTGGGTGGAGGCAGACTCAGCCTGGGCCTTCGCTGCCTGTTGATGGAGATAAGAGAGTTGGGTCAAAGACAAAAGACGCATCATTGGCAGTTGTGTATTTATGTATGTAATTTATGTTTATCATTTATTGTAAGTAATTTATGTATGTAATTTAGTTTAGACTGGCAGAGTGTCTGTCAATGCTGGTTTGTTTGTTTGTTTATATGTTGTTTGTGTATGATTGATTTTGTGTGAACACCAGGAAGATTAGCAACCGCTAAGCTAAAGCTAAAGCTAAAGCTAATGGGGATCCGAATAAAGAATAAAGCATAAAGAATTTCATCAGCAAAAAGTTGCTCATTGAAAACCTTTTCCAGTAAACCAAAGTAACTACATTTAAATGTTTTATAGATTTCAGGTGTTTTTTGTGTTTTTTGTTTGCCTCACCATTTTCAGTGTGATGAGCAGTTGACCATAGCAGAAGACAATGGTGGCAAATGGAACAGCAAAGCAGAAGCAGAAAAGGAACATCACGTAGGACTCATTGTTGTATTTGTTGTTAGTTGTGTACCAGTCTGGGCCACAGGAGCATTGCAGGCCCTCTGGGATATACCTGGAGAGAAAATCACAAGGGCTTTGAGTATACATCCCAACTTCCTGGTTGTGAGATGAATTTCAGTGGTAGTTGGTTCCTGTTGCTTACCTGCTCCATCCGACCAGTGGAGGACCTGAGGCAATCAGTCCAAAGATCCAAGTGAATACGCAGCAGGCTATAGCATGGTCGGGCTTGAAAACAAAGTTCCCAAGTGGCTTACAGATGACCAGCCATCTTTCAAAAGCTACCACAGCCAGAGACCACAGGCTTACCATACCTGGAACGATATACAGTAAAGCATTTTTTTTACTTTTACTTTGTGTTTTTCATTTTTTAGCTTGTTAAAATTCAAGTATCATATTATTTCTGTGCCTCAAGTTCATTCTTACCGCCAAGTGTTGCCATAAAACCTTCAATCTTGCATGCTAGAGGTCCAAAGATGAAATATCTGGATGCAAAGGAGCAGCAGGCGGTGAAGGAGCCCACACAGGACACAAGAAGGTTGGCCACAGCCAAGTTCAACAGGATGTAGTTGAGGTGGGACCGAAGCTTTTTGTATTTCATGGTGCATGCGATGGTGAGGGTGTTGATAGCAGTGCCAACCACGAATACAAAGAACATAAATCCCGCCATGCTGTAAAAGACACCCGAGCCCCCCAGGTGATCCTGGGGAACCAGGAAAGGGCTGAGTGATGTGATGTTGTTGGTATCCAGAGCGATGGGTATCCAGAAGTCCTCTGGTAGCTCGTGACCATGATTTGCCCTCATTTTGCTCTTTTTGTAGGATTGTTGATGAAAATGTTATCTTTGCTAATGTATATCACATATATAAAAAAGTAAAAAATAAAAGTTTTAAGAGGCAGACAAGATTGCTAAAGTGACCATGTCCCGAACATTTCTGATAACAGTCCCTTGGGGAGGATGGACTTATATAAAAGGCCTGGGATACCACTTATCCAATTTAAAAGCCTAATTAATTATATAATTAAATGATTAATTTAGGTTTGCATTAATAGTTTAAGTCATTTAGTGGTTTCAAGTCCAGGCTGTGCTGCCAAAGAGGTCATAAAGTTGTGTCACATTGAAAACAGTCAGGTGCTGCATGATGCAACTTAATAATAAAAGTTACTCTTATTTGAAAATACAGACAATGCGTAGGAAGTGTGTGTTAATGTTTAGAAATCAAATTTTGATACCTATTTACCTGCTGCTTAAGAGATATGATAAATAGAAGAGACAATATGAATATGAATGCTGAATGTTACCCACACTGGGCTCACATTAAGAATTTCAAGATTTAGTTAAAGCAGAAATGTTACCTAAAGGCATCTGAATCAGGGGCCACACACACAAGTATGTATATATATTTACAAAATGGTGTACTCTGTGCACCAGTGTGGCTATACATGACCATTTGTTCTTGTCATTAGACCCCTATTAAACAGGTTAATCCCACTTTCTTAAAGAAGAGCACAGCAGGTTGTTTCCTGCTAATCTGGTTTCCATTAACATTAAATCTGATAATCTCCTGCACCGCAGCCCTTTGTAATCCACTCTACCGGTTTAACTCAAGCTTTGTGTTACCTTTTTGGCTTTTTGCCTCCTTCCCTGAACATGAAAGGTGCGTAAGACGTTGGAAATGCCGTATGATAGCAGAAGGTGCTTGTGGTAACTCTGTCGTTCCAAAAGAAGCAATGCAGAGAAGGACATCATCATCAGTGTCTCAGAGGAGCCAGGTTATAGATATTACAGAGACCAGAAGGTGAAGGTGAATGTGAAATGAATAAATAAAATGTTTAGCTTTGAGTTGCATAAGAATTAAAAACAAAATAATAAAATAAAACACCAATATTGAAGCGGTATTGCTGAACACTTTGATCTGAACAGTTTTTTTTTATTTTTAATCTTTTTATATTTGCTGTGCAAAAAAAGTGTTAATCATTCCCTCTAGAAATAAAGTGTGGTATCTATGCAAATTATTGCACAAAACATCATCATGCGTACATATTTACAATACACAAATTATCGGTCGCCTGTGCAGCAGTATTTTGACGATGAAAAGAAAACAATGTGGATGTTCGGTCTAAGCAGGCCCAACTTTGGAGACTTCGGTCACTGACTGTGTCGACGACTCTTCATCATCACCTCCACCCATCCCCAGCATCTTCATCATGCATGAACGGAACTGGAAGACATCAGGGGAAAGCACACCTTTAAAAACTCTTCCTTTTGCTAAACAAGCTTAATTACTGCCCATTCCATATTAACTTGTTTCTACTATCAGTGTGTATTTAAGTTGCTAGCCTCCTATTTCAAATCAGCCACATGACCTCTTTTATCATCTTTAACTATTAAACATCAGCTGTTTATGCCAAAGTCTTTGTATAGTCTAAGTTGTTGCTTTTTATTGCCTTCATATGTGTTGTTATAACATTACTCTCTGAGTACAGCATGAACCTTGCATGCCTCAAAAACCTAGTTTATTGCTAAGCTGTCCTTCCCATAACTGTAATGTGTTTTCAATATGATAAGACATCCAACTGACCTGTTTGTTGAGTAAGACATAGATAACTGGGTTGTAGACTGCAGAGGCCTTGGAAAAGACAGATGGTATAGAGGCAAATCTCAGGTCGAACGGTTGCCCACGGTTGTTCACAACCCACAGAGCAAAAGAGGCGTAGGGCAGCCAGCACACCAGGAAGCCCATCACCATGACAACCACCATCCTGGTCACTTCCCTCTCTGCCTTCTGGGTGGAGGCAGACTCAGCCTGGGCCTTTGCTGCCTGTTGATGGAGAGAAGAGAGTTGACTCTCATGACAATCATCCGTCACAATAAAACATTTTCTCTTTTGTTCTTCAAATGTTGCCTCACCATTTTCAGTGTGATGAGCAGTTGACCGTAGCAGAAGATAATGGTGGAGAGGGGAACAGCAAAGCAGAAGCAGAAAAGGAACATCACGTAGGACTCATTGTTGTATTTGTTGTTAGTTGTGTACCAGTCTGGGCCACAGGAGCATTGCAGGCCCTCTGGGATATACCTGGAGAGAAAATCAGAGTGTCCTGAGTGTAGCCTGTCTCCCAGCTTTACTGTAAAATGAGTGTAAATGTAAGTGTGTGTGAAACACTAACCGGCTCCATCCGACCAGTGGAGGACCTGAGGCTATTAATGCGATCACCCAGGTGAATACGCAGCAGGCTATAGCATGGTCGGGCTTGAAAACAAAGTTCCCAAGTGGCTTACAGATGACCAGCCATCTTTCAAAAGCTACCACAGCCAGAGACCACAGGCTTACCATACCTGGAACGATATACAGTAAAGCATTTTTTTTACTTTTACTTTGTGTTTTTATTTTCTAGCTCGTTAAAATTCAAGTATCATATTATTTAAGTGCCTCAAGTTCATTCTTACCGCCAAGTGTTACCATAAAACCTTCAATCTTGCATGCTAGAGGGCCAAAGATGAAATATCTGGATGCAAAGGTGCAGCAGGCGGTGGAGGAGCCCACACAGGACACAAGAAGGTTGGCCACAGCCAAGTTCAACAGGATGTAGTTGAGGTGGGATCGGAGCTTCTTGTATTGAGCGGTGCATGCAATTGTAAGCACATTGATGGCAGTGCCCACAATAAATATAAAAAACATGAATATAGACATTACATAGAAGGTGCCTGAACTTGCTAGATGGTCCTGGGGGACGAGGAATGGGCTGAGAGATGTGATGTTGTCCGTATCCAGAGCGATGGGGATGTAGAAGTCCTCCGGAAGCTCCGTAACGCGGCCGTGCTTCATGGTTGCCCTTTATGTAAATAAGAAAAAATCAAAATTTGCTTTTCATGTGATGGTTAAAGTGCAGTATCTCATGCAGATGGACTTGTATGCGGCAGTCCATTACAGAGGACTAGGAGTAAATTTATAGGGATTTCTGACTGAACATCTAATTAATTGAATGATTGAATAATTAATTGCTTGATTAAATCAGCAAAAACAAAAACAACAAGCTTTGGTGAAGGTAATTGAAATGACACGAGAAGCAATGCAAATAAATATAGAGCACAGTGACATAACACAAGGAGGACAAAAAAAGATTTCAGGATGTTATCAGTCATATAATGTTCTCATCAGAGACACAAGCTCAGGTCTCATGTCAGGACACACAGACAAACAGACACACACACACACACACGCCCGCACGCACACACACACAGACACACACACACACACATGTGCAGCGAGCTTTGGGTGACACGCACACACACGCACACACATGCACACACACACATGCACGCACACACAGACACGCACGTACACACACATACACACATTAACACACCCACACACAAATATACACACACACAGACACACACACACACACATGTGCAGCGAGCTTTGGGTGACACGCACACACACGCACACACATGCACACACACACATGCACGCACACACAGACACGCACGTACACACACATACACACATTAACACACCCACACACAAATATACACACACACAGACACACACACACACACATGTGCAGCGAGCTTTGGGTGACACGCACACACACGCACACACATGCACACACACACATGCACGCACACACAGACACGCACGTACACACACATACACACATTAACACACCCACACACAAATATACACACACACAGACACACACACACACACATGTGCAGCGAGCTTTGGGTGACACGCACACACACGCACACACATGCACACACACACATGCACGCACACACAGACACGCACGTACACACACATACACACATTAACACACCCACACACAAATATACACACACACAGACACACACACACACACATGTGCAGCGAGCTTTGGGTGACACGCACACACACGCACACACATGCACACACACACATGCACGCACACACAGACACGCACGTACACACACATACACACATTAACACACCCACACACAAATATACACACACACAGACACACACACACACACATGTGCAGCGAGCTTTGGGTGACACGCACACACACGCACACACACATACGCACGCATACACACACACACATGCACGCACACACAGACACGCACGTACACACACATACACACACACACACGCACACACACGCACACACACATACGCACCATACACACACACACACACACACGCACGCACACACACAGACACGCACACACACGCACACACACATACGCACCATACACACACACACACACACACGCACGCACACACACAGACACGCACACACACGCACACACACATACGCACCATACACACACACACACACACACGCACGCACACACACAGACACGCACACACACGCACACACACATACGCACCATACACACACACACACACACACGCACGCACACACACAGACACGCACACACACGCACACACACATACGCACCATACACACACACACACACACACGCACGCACACACACAGACACGCACACACACGCACACACACATACGCACCATACACACACACACACACACACGCACGCACACACACAGACACGCACACACACGCACACACACATACGCACCATACACACACACACACACACATGCACGCACACACAGACACGCACGTACACACACATACATACGCACACACGCACACGCCTGCACACACACACACGCACACACATGCACACACACACACGTGCACACACACACACATGCATGCACATACAGACACGCACGTACACACACACATACACACGCCAGCACGCACACACACACACACATGCACACACACGTGCACATGTGCACACATGCACAAATGCACACATGCACACACACACACACACAGACACACACGCACGCATGCACACACACACGCACACACACACACACACACA